TGGCTCCATCCATTATCATCAGTGAGACCCAACCACTGTGCCTTAGTTTTCTGGATTGATAATGGAGTTATCAAAGTTAGCAAAGTGGATTTGATAATCACATCATCTCAAAGGGGTTAAAAGGTTTAAAGGAAATGATGCTCAGAAACCTATGAGAACAATACTTCTTGGCAGGTAAGGGTTCCACAAACCTTAACTATGATCATCTCTTCTCTTCTGTGGACCTTGGTTTCCTCATCCAAAGGGAGATAATAATACATGTTCCGGACCACTTCTCCTGAGCCATGACAGAATTAAATACGATTAAATGCGTGAAAGCAATTTGGAAGTCAAGCTCTGCATAGCGGCAGAGAGGAGATAAGGCTGTTCATTATGATGTCCTTGGCTGAAATATAATCCCAAGAGCCTGGACAGGAAGGTGGGGTGTTTATGTATTTTCATGCTGTTGGTTACAGGTGGGTGTGCGTGAATGACTTCTCTTGATGAAGTATGTCAGGATGAGGGCTTTAGTGTTTGACTGGTCCAAGATGGCATAAAGATGGAAACAGGGAAATTTACTAAGCAAGAAATAAATAAGGTTGCAGCCCCACAGCCTTGTAAGCCATATAATTTCAAACATCATAGTTTCAGACATCTGGGCTCTATTACCTGAAATCCCATTAAACCTTCAGTTTCATAATTCTGTATAAAACTTGGTAAATTGCAAGATTCTGCTGATGGCCACCAGCCAGTTCACGCAATTAATCACAAGGGTCCCTGAGCAGGGTTGCAACTCATGCCAAGTGGATTCTTTAAGGGGAAGCTGTGTACACAAAAGAAATAGCCCCATCCACAGTTTTGTAGCAACATGCTTTGTAGCTCTGCCAACCCAGACAAATTATCTGTTATCATTAAGACATCCAAGTCTCATAACTTTTTCCTCAATGGAAATTAGTACTCACCAGCCCAAAGAAGATCCTCAAACCTCGTTAACTGTAATGTAGACTGTAACATGGCCAGAGCCAACAAGTCCAGTTCAGACTAAATGAAACCCTACCCTTTACCTACCCTCAGCGTTTTCTCCTTTGAGGGAACTCAACATGAACTGAGCTGTCTTCCCTTTTCAACTTTTCTAGAATGCCTGGACTGTTTGCATTTGCCCCTACGTTCCAGGCCAAGGGGCCAAAATCCACAGCAGAGAAGTAACCTTGGAGCCTGTCTTCAGAATCCTGCTAGATATACCCCAGGGTGAAAGGGCCCAGCACAAAGGAACTATTTCTCTTAAGACTTCTTGCTTGGTTTTGCCAACTTGAAAGAGTTTACTTTAGAGCGTTTATAAAGCCTTTCCTAATTACTGTTTTGTTTAGAGAGAGACTCTGGGAACATGATGGAGAACAGAGGGGAGCCTTGAGCCCTCCCTTCAGACAGCAGAAAGGGGAGAGGGCAGCAGTCAGAATAAAATTTATGATATGGGTGAAAGTATTGTGACTTCACCTTGCTTTTTAGGTTTCTTCTTTCTAAAACCCCTTTTATAAATCTCTCCGTCTCAGTTTCTAATGCCACAAAGCAGCCATCTAGTTTAGTAGCCAGTCAGACACGACTGAGCTGAACTGAGGTACATGTGATCATTTAAATTTAAATGAGTTGGGACTTCCCAGTGGTTGTTACGTCCAGTGGTTAAGACTGTACTTTCAATGCAGGGAGTGAGGGTTCAATACCTGGTTGGGGAAGTAAGATCTTACATGCCTTGTAGCCAAAAAAAATTTAAAAATTAAAGTAGATATTTGCAGAGTCTTTAAAAGAAAGAAAAAGAAAGTAAATTTAAATGAATTAAAATTAATTTTATGGAGACACTAGCAACATGTCAAGTGCTCAAAATAGCCACATGTGGTTAATGGCTGCCATACTGGATAAAGCTGTGGTGCTGGAGAAGACTCTTGAGAGTCCCTTGGACAGCAAGGAGATCAAACCAGTTAATTCTAAAGGAAATCAACCCTGAATATTCACTGGAAGGACTGATGCTGAAACTGAAGCTCCAATATTTTTGGCCACCTGATGTGAAGAGCCAACTCATTGGAAAAGACTCTGATGCTGGGGAAGATTGAGGGCAGGAGGAGAAGGGGGCAATGGAAGAAGGGGTGTTTGGATGGCATCGCCGACTCAATGGACATGAGTTTGCGCAAACTCCAGGAGATAGTGAAGGACAGGGAAGTGCTGCATGGACTGGTGTGTTGCAGTCCATGGGGTCGCAAAGAGTCCGGCATAACTGAGAAACTGAACAACAAAGAACATTTCCATCATTGCAGAAGCACCTTTGGATGGTGCCGCTCTAGATGAAGAACCTCAACAGCCTTGCTACTCACAGACCCGCAGCACTGGTATCACCTGAAAACTTGTTAGACATGCATGATCTGCATTTTAACATGATACCCAGGTGACTCCTAGGCACATTAAAATTTGAGAAGCACTGTTCTAAAATACCCTTCCCCTCTTAAGAGTCTGTATAGTGAAATCCGTCATTGTCCTTGGCACAATTTGTTCTTATTTATGGAGCTTGTGTCCCCTTGTGACCTAGAGGGTGGGATGGAGTGGGAGGTGGGAGGGAGGTTCAGGAGGGAGGAGCATATGTATACCTATGGCTCATTCATGTTGATGTATGGCAGAAACCAACACAATAGTGTAAAGCAATTATCCTTCAGTTAAAAACAAATTTTTTTAAAAAAGATTTACTCTTTGCTCGAAGAAGCTTGGGGTTAGAAGCAGTGATGCTTAAAGAATGGTCCTCAGATGGGTGATATGTGTGTGCCCTGCAAGCTTGTTAGAAATGCACATTTACAAACCCACTCCAGACCTACTGAATCACATTTTTTTTTTCCACTCAGGGCCCCAAATCTGGGTTTTGCTATGCTCTCCAGGGAATTTCCAAGCACAGTGAAGTTGGAGAAGCATTAGGCAGACACATCATCAGGTGATTCTAATACAGCATGATAAGTATAATGAGACAGGAAACTCTCCAAGCCCTGCAACCCCCAAGGCAGGAGGGGGACATCTTAGTAAATGTTCAATGGAACAAATGTTGCTCGTCTGCTTAATTAAGTAGCTGATGCATGAATAGGCTTGTAGAAACTAAACAATACTGGGATGATGGACCTGGGCTTTGAATGGATTGAATGGCTTGCTCAGGTCTTGCCTCTCCTGTCTGCCTCACTCTAAAACCCAGTGTTTGGATCACTGCACTATATTATATCCAGGACTCTTGGTATTTTATTTCATGAAGTGAACAAGACTATAAAGCAAATTTCCCCCACAGTCCGCACACTTTTCTCTGTCTGAAAGACAAATAACTACTATTTAAGTACTGAAGAGAAGATGTAGGGGCGCCCATGGATTTGTGCCAGGCTGGTTTCGTGAGAATCACCAAGCTGCTTGTTAAATAGAGAGATTTCTAGACCTCCCTCTGGACACTCTGAATCAGGGGAAATTGGAGAGAGGCTGGACAAAATAAAAATTGTAAGAAGCTCCTTGAGATGAGTCAGATGCAGTCAAGTTTGAGAACCTCAGACTAAAATGGCCAAGTTCTTATCACCCTGGAATTCAGAGACTCAGCTTATCCCACAGCAACCAGAGCTGATTCCTGAGAGATGTTTAAGCCTCATAGTGTAGACTAGCAGTTTCATTTGTAGTAGAGCAGGAAGGGGATGAATAGTGTCAGTGGGGCATTTTTTTCCCTTAGTGCTGAGGAAAAGGAAAGGGGCAGCTTGTGCACAAGTGCATTCTTCCTCTGTGTGTGTGTGTGTGTGTGTGTGTGTCTAATTTCAGTCATCTCAGGAACTCGCACACTCTGTGCAGAGAGGCAGCAACCCAAGCTGATCACGACTGCAAAGCCAGCACCAGAAAGACTGCCCTTACAGTATCTGGAGTCCTTCACATTCTAACTGAAACAATAAAATTGAGGGCTGAGAGGGTAGAAGATGGAAATCAAGGCCTTCCTACCCAACCTGGGCATAAATGATTGCCTAAAGGTCTTCCCATGGGGCTTTGGGCCCTCGTGTGTCTTCTTAGCACTTGTGGCATCGAGGGGCCCCGGATGTGTCATAATCAGGTTGAGGGTCCTAGGCTGGCCTGAAGGCTGCAGCTTCTCTAAGGTCCTTTATCTCCCCAAGCCTGACTTTCTTTATCTGTAAAGTGAGGTCACGGGATCTACCTCCTCAAGTTGCTGCAAAATGGACCAGGCTCTTATCACAATGCTTGACACAGACTACTTAGTTAAGGATAGTTTTTACTGCCGTGGTCATTGTGGTCTATAGACTCTGAGTTAGTTGATGTTATTCAGAGAAACAGGATCAGTAGGAGATACTGGTCTCCAATAGGAGATATATTTGTATATCTATCTATAGATCCATCTATCTAGAGAGAGAGGGAGAGATAATAGAGAGAGAGAGAGAGAGAGTAAAGAGATAGATAGATATTGCAAAGAATGGCTTACACAATTTTGGAGGCTGAGAAAGCCAAGGATCTGTAGTCAGCTAGCTGGAGACCCAAAAGAGCTGATGGTCTAAATTCCAGTTCAAGCCCAAGTGCAAAGGCAGAAAAAGCCAGATATCCCAACTCAAACACAGGCATAGAGAATGAATTCTCCCTAAATCAGCCTTTTATTCTACTCAGGTCTTCAGTTGACTGGATGGGGACCACCCACATTAGGGAAAGTAACTTGCTTGACTCAGTCTACTGATTCAAATGTTGATCTCATCCAGAAACACCCTCCCAGACACACCCGGAATAATGTTTAATCAACTATCTGGCCACCCCATGGCCCAGTCACGTTGACACATAAGATTAACCATCACAGAGTCATTATGGATTCCAGTTTACGAGGGGTTTTGAGAAGTTACAGACTAGTTTGTGTGTTTTATTGCCCTGAACCCAAGTCCTCTGCTCTCCTGATACTCATCTTCTCTGAGATTCTGACCTCCATCTTCATCCAGTCAGAGGTAGCACTGATTTTTTCATCACATTCTCAGGAGGTGAACACCCCCCTCCTCAGACCATCAAGAGGACTGGTAGTGGCAGAAATGAAACCAGTGGAGCTGAGAACTCATGTGCCTTCTCCCACCAGAGGGCTGGTGAGCAGAGTTGAGTTTTATTGCCACATAAATCCTTCTTTGTCCTTCTTTTATCTCCTAACTCCTTCCATACCTACTGATTAATTAATTGAGCATACCTGTTTAAAACATCCCGTCTTGATTCTTATAATAGTATGCCTGTGAGGGTTCTAAAAGTTAGAAATGATTTAGTATCAGAGGTTTTGATTACAATGAATATAAAATCAAATAAAATGAGCAAATGATGAAGAGAAGAGGGGAGTGAGGTTTGAAATTAGCCTTATTTCCTGTACACACAAGAGGCACACTTAAGTTGGTTTTTATCTTGGCCTATTTTGGGAGTGATATATTTGACTCACAACCAGGAATAGAAGATACACAAGGACCTGTACCCTCTAAACCAACTTCAGCACTATTGACATTTTGAGCTGGATAATTCTTTGAAATGAGGGTCTGTCCTATGCATCCCAGGATGTTCAGTAGGGTCCCTGGCTTCCACCCATTAGATGCTGGTAGTATGACAACCAGAAGTGTCTCCTGATGTTGCCAAATGGGAAAAAATTTGGACCCAGCTGAGAACCACTGCTCTAAACACAGGACAGCTTTTAAACTGTGAGACAGAAATGTACTTTCTCTAGGCCAAACCTCTTATTTAGGGCTCTTTATGTGTAGGGTTCATATTTGATGAGCATTTTTTAATACAGACGCAGCTACTTGCTTTGTCTCCTGAATTCCTATTGGAGTTTAGCAACTCGCTTTCCTAATACATGTTTCCTATTGAGTCAGGAAAGCATTGTGGTGAGAACAGATCTGCTTTCCAGTCTCAGCTCTGGGCACTTCAGCAGGATGGCTGTGACAAGTTAATGAACCTGGCCTCATTTTTTTCTAGGTGTGTTGTGAGGATAATGCAATTCAGCCCTCAAAGATGGCAGTGGTGACTCAGTGAGCGCCTATGAAATCTTAGCTGGCCATCATAGCTGCTCAGTGAATATTAGTTCTGCTTCTTATTTTTTTATGATTTTATTTATTTATCAGGGCTTCTCAGGTCGCGCTAGTGGTAAAGAACCCACCTGCCAATGCAGAGGACCTAAGAGATGCAGGTTTGATTCCCCAGGTCAGGAAGATCCCTATTTATTTGTTTTTGGCTAAGCTGGGTCTGCATTGCTATGTAGGCTTTTCTCTAGTTGCAGCGAGCAGGAGCTACTTTATAGTTGCACTGCACCAGCTCCTCATTGTGGTGGCTTCTCTTGTTGCTGAGCACAGGCCCTAGGGTAAGCAGGCTTCCGTAGTTGCAGCTCCCAGGCACTAGAGCACAGGCTCGGTAGTTGTGACACACGAGCTTAGTTGCTCCAAGGCATATGGGATCTTCCAGGACTAGGGATTGAACCCGTGTCTCCTGCATTGGCAGGTGAATTTTTTACCACTGAGCCACCAGGGAAGGCCAGTTCTGCTTCTTATTGATTGTTGTGGAGGCAACTCTGGGTCTCCCTCCTTTGGACGGTGCATCTCACTCCTGCTATAAATTGTCAGAGTGCATTCAGGCCCACCTCGAAGTCCTCTAAACATGAGTCATAGGAGAGACACTTTCAGATAGAAGATATGGCCCTTCTCGTTGAATGGAAGACACTGAACAACCGTTTTAAGAGACGAAGTCTTCTATCTTCTCCAACCGTGAGGGATGGGGCTGCCCGCACACACCGTCTTTTCTTTTATCCCAAACACTCCCTTGCGGCTGGAGTAGGGGGAGGTGACATGGGACACTCTCAGTCCCAGGCATGTTCTTGAATCCTCTCCAGGCTGGCCTTTGTCTCCAGGACCAGCTTCTTCCTGCCTTTCAAGTGTCTCTTGTAAACTGTCCTTATCACAGAACTGTCTGTTGGCATCAGCACTAATCTGGGTGAGAGGGGAAGCCAGCTGCATTCACTGTGGCCTTGGCAGGTGAGGGGAATGTTACCCATCGCTGGAGGGGGCAAAGGCTTGGCCTCGGGGCTGTGTTGTTTCTGGTTCCTGACCCCTAGCTGTGGCATTAGTACACTAACCTAATTGTATTTCTAGTTTCTCTAGGGAATTTTGAAAAGCTTCAGTAGTAATAATAATAAGTACCCATCACTTAGCAGATATTGACTGTTTGCCAAACACCATGCAAAGAACTTTTTCTGTGAACCCGTTTCCACATTACATCAACCCAGTGAGGTGGGAATTATGATCACCATTTTAAATGTGAGGCTGTTGAGGTTTGGAGAAACTCACATGTTCAATATCCCGTAGTTGCTAAGTGGTGAGCCTGGGATATCAACCAGATCTGCCTGACTCAGGAGCTCATGCTCTTCAATCACTGGACTCTGATGGGGCCCTGCTCATGCTGGACTCTGAAGCTATTGCACTAAGGAAGGGAATAGCTCCCAGGATGCCTAAACCATTCAATAGTAATGTTGAAAAAAAAGACATAAGAGCTTCTTACTCTTCACTAGTTGCAAATCCACACATGGTCATTTCTGGGATGCGCATGTTCCTTGAGTAGTCCTCATGTGCATGCATGCGTACTCAGTCATGTCCGACTCTTTGCAACTCCATGGCTGTAGCCCGCCAGGCCCCTCTGTCCATGGAATTCTCCAGGCAAGAATACTGGAGTGGTTTGCCATTTCCTCCTATACATTCCAGCTATACAGTTCCTTTATGGGTTGGCTTGGATGAAAGATTTTTACTTGCATCAGTTTCTAACCCCCTTTAATAATACTAGAATGTTGTCTCTTAATCAAATTATAAATATTTATCTTCTTAGTAGTATTAGTGAATGAAAATAACTGTGGATGCTTTAGTTAGCCAGTGCTTATGGATCAAAGCTGCACCCTCGTGAACTGAATTTTTGTTGTTCTTTTGTAAAACATCATGACAACAATAAATAAAAGTCCTAAAGCCTTCACTTTTCCCTCCATTTCTTTCCTATACATATGTGTAAGTTTTTTTTAACTTTTTATTTTGAAGTAGAGTTGATTAACAATGTGATATTTTCAGATGTACAGCAAAGTGATTCAGTTATACATAGACTTGCATCTGTTGTGTTGTTTGGTTTTTTCAAATTCTTTTCCCACATTGGTTGTTATATAACACTGAGCAGAGTTCCCTGTGCTCCACAGCAGGTCCTTGTTGGTTATCCACTTTAAACAAAGCAGTGTGGACATGAGTTTTGTATTGTGGTATATCATAACTGTTCACCATGTTGCTAACATAATCATCATAATGGTCATGTAATCACTCATCTTATTAATGAACTATAATTTACTTAACCTAAGTTTTTCACAATAGGAAACTGGTTGTTTTCTACATTTTCCACTTTTATAAATAACCTCTGGATTGCACATTTGTGCATATAGCTTCTTTCATTTTTTTTAGAATACTTCCTTAGGATGCACTCCTGGAATGGGAACAGAGTCAATGAATGTGAATTTTTAATATTTTTTAAATAAATAAATAAATTTATTTTAAAATAAATATTTTTCTAGCTTACAATGCCACCAGCAATATATTAATATTCTACTTTCATTACAGTCTTATCAGTAGTGTATATTATTTTATATTTAATGCACTGAAATAGCACCTTACTTTTGTCTCAAAAATCAGAAGTTTTAATGAAACACTTACTTATAAATTGTGCATTCTCTCATGTTTTGAAAAGCCTGTTTTAAAGCCTAGGATTTTTTTTTTTAAAACAGTAAGAACTTTTGATTTCTCTCCATTGCCCAATAGTTTGGGGTACTAAATAAAACTAATATCGAAATATTTTTCTGAGCAAAATATCCAATTGTGCTCTTTTATTAACTAATTAGTGAAGACCTGTGTATATTGTATAGGATCTGTAGGGAGTACTGAGATAAAATAAAAGGCAATTAGAAAATGAAGTTTGAAAAATTAGACAAATATATCTGTGCTAGCATTCCCAAGGTCAAGAGCACGTTTGCCCTTCAAGTAGTTCAATCTGCTCAGGTTTTAATGACTTTCTCTACCTAATCGCTAACCTACTCAGCCAGTCTGCCTTTTCAACTAACAAAGGGAGGACCTCCACCCATACTGCTTCCAATATTTCATTCTAGGTTTTATCCTGGGAAAGCTTCTTAATGCAGAATGAAGTGCCCCTGCTACCGACTATACACATCACCCCACCCCGAAATGCTTCCACACCATTCCCAATCTGATCTTGCGGATCAAGTAAATGCATGAAACCCCACAGTGTACAGCATGGGTTCCCAAACCACAGCCCTGTCAGAGGGCCGAGTGCCAGCTCCAAGGATCTGGTTTTCCCCTTCCTTGCATTCAAGTTCGCATGTCCCTGAGACAGATATCTTCCACGCTCTGGGAAAAAAAAAAAGGAAGGACGTTTCAAGAATACAAGCCATCATTGTATTTGCCTCAGAGTTGAATCACTGTTACCTCCACTAGAGCTTTCTCTTTGACCTAAGGATGTTAAGGTTTGAGGATGTTAAGGTTTGTTTGAATATGATTATTGCTACATACCAGAATATGGGAATATAAAGAAATTTATCATGTTTTCTCCTTTTTTCTCTTGCAGCCTCAGCTGAAGGTTCTCCATAAATACAGTTAGCCTTCCAAGCTGCTGTCCTGCCAGTCAATACGAACATGGCCTGTTCCTCACAGAAAGACTAACTCATGGCACTGCCAGAAGATATCCTTGGAGCATTGACAGATTAACCAGATTAACTGGAAAACCACCCATTCAGTCAAGATTACCGGCTTTGGAAAATCTTAGCTTGCTCTGGATTTTTAAATGAGGTGCATAATATACAGTGCCAGCTTGTTCCAAGTGGTCATTGGCAGACCATTGGCTGGAAAATTGCTTCCAGTTTTCATCACTGTGCATAACTGAAGCTCCCTTTGGGGAGCTGTCTGTGCCCTTCACTCCAGGTCCTGTTTTAGCATGGCAACTACTGGATTATTTTATTATGTGTGCAGATGGCATGATGTGTTAGAAAAAAAAAATTACAGCAGTCCTGCAATCTCAGTGGACGTGTTCACAATATTATGCCCTGGTAGGAGTATAAACATGTCTCGATTGTGTTAGTTATGGTGTCTCAAGGTAGTCTGTCCAACTCTTCAGCACTTTACATGATAACCCTACACTGAAACAAATCAGCACGTTGAGTATATGTGAGAAAACAAGTTCTTTCTTCTTTCTTATAAATTTTATCCTGTTTTGGCTCAGACTGTCCAAGGCGAGACTCCACTCCCAGCATATATCCCATAGTTTGAGGCAGATTGGTAAATATGGCCACAATACTGTTAGACTTAACCTCTTGACAGTTTACGGAACAACTGGATTTCTTACAGCACCAAAGGGAGGTAAAGGTGGGCCTGGGGAATGGTGGTCGTTTCCTCTTCTTGGGCACATCTTACCACAAGCACATCCACACACTCAAACACAGGAGACTTCTAATTGGCCAGGACACATAGTGTCTCTTTCTCTAGAAGAGTTCTTTCACCAAAAATGGGGGGAATGGCCACATTTTCATCTTAGACTATGGTAAGTTGATAGTAAGGACAGAAGAATAAAGGGGTGTGACTTTAACACTTTGGAAAACTCTTTAGGTCAAGTTTTGATCTCAACTCTCTACAGAGGGAAAAATAGCAAGTGACCCCCTGGCATGTCTAGAGAAGCAGGAGTTTCCAATCGCACACTAGGTTTTCTTCCTCAGAAGAGAACCTACTAGTCCTTTTTAATCCTATCTGGAATTATACCTGTTAACTAATATTTTTTACTATGTTTTACAACAAAGCACAGTCCTGGGATGCCAGTCAACCCAGTTATTGCTTGTCTTTAGGAATTAGAGGAATGTTCATGTTGACTGACCCTTCATCATGCTTTAGGCATTTTTTTTTCCCTGAAAATGTAAAGTTGACTGAATCAGAAACTCAGCCAAGTATGTTCTGTGTGCCCACAATCCCAGTCTGTGGCTCGCAGGCATAGGAGACTTTTCTTTAAATACATGTAACAACCCTGGGACCCAGCCAGCACAAGCAAGGTTGGCATTTTAGAGGGTCACCAGACACACACTCATTGTCTGTTCTCCCACATCTTTCCTCCCCTGGGGGTATCAGGAAATGCACAGCCCATTAGAAAACATCCCCGCCTGAGATTTGGAAGCTTTACAGGGAAGGAGGGAGATCCGAAGGTGATTCAGGTGAGTCACCAGGCCAGATGACTCACCAAGAGCCTGCAGGCTGTGGTGCCAAAGAAGGGGGCTTCCAAGAGGGAACTCACAGGAGCTTCAGTCACCACCGAGATCCGGCCCTTTGGTGGGTCAACATCAGGACCAACACTGTAATTCTTTACAGATCCAAAATTAAGAGGCCAAAGCCTGGCTGCCAATGCCCCTGGACACCTCAGTCTCCACCACCTATCTCCAGCGGTTCAATTCCAACAGCAAAGCTCACTCCAGTCTTTCGTTTGTTCCATTCTTTAGTCATCAAGTGTTTATTGAGCATCTAATGTGCCAAGCATTGAGCTGCGGCACTATCGTTTTCAAGGTAGATGCTCTCTGCCCTTATATCTCCTCTTCCCAAACACTATCCCAACCCCACCTTTTCCACAGTGAAAACTGAATTCAGACAGCATTCACTCCTCCAGAGCAATGTAGGGGAAACGGTCGTGCACAGTTCCCTTGACTGAGGAAGCAGGCAGCAGAGGGGGAGGTAATGGACAGTATCAGGCCATTTATTTGCATCCGTTATGTACAGCCAACCCTTCCGGCACCCAGATTTAGCTGATGAGAGCTTCCCAAAGCAACTTTCAGTTGCTTCTCTTGATGTCCACCCTGGTCATCTATTTTCCCATCCCTTCTACAGAAACAGCCATTCGTCATTATGCTGGGTTCTCTGAAAGCCCAGTTTTATAACTAGTCCAGCGGACACAGAATTGGGCCTGACGAACTCAACAGAACTACTGCCAGGTGCTGAGATACTGTAGCTAGGAATGCATCGGTTTAGCCGGGAACGTTAATGACTGTTAACACCCTTGGAAAACCGAACATGCTTTGTGGTGCAGATAGATGTTCATTAAGTGATGGTGATTCATCCTTACTTTGGCTTTCGCAAAATATGTTATGAACAAGTAAATAAGTAGAGTTGTCTAGCCCTTTTCTTTTGAATCAAAGTGTGCTGGACAGTTTTTTAAAGGTAGTGGGTGAAGGTGGAAATAAGAGAGAGCAAAGATGGAGGCAATGAAAGAGCCCCATTGAAGATGGCTCCTCTAAAAATGCCTTAATTCCTGGCACGTACCACATATTCGCATATGAACTACTACTGTTTTCCAAACTGTCGCCCTCTGTTTGAAATCATTTGAGGGCATGGTTTTGGAAACGTGGTGGCTTAAAACCAGAACAGTCACAACCTAAACCAGCAAAATTGGGGAAGCAATCTCCTTCTCAGCCTTGGGATTCTTTGTTCTGTGCTGACCCACAGTTACCCATGGCTGCTCCCTGCTGCGTTGCACCTTCTTCCCAAGATGCATGTAGGACATGTTACCTCCCAGAGATGGCTCTGTTGAGTTTTGTTTCGTAGGAGGCAGGAAATGGGGAGGAAGACTATAAAGCTTTAATGTCTAAGGGCTGTAAACTGTTGATGCATTAACTTTTCCTCTTACTTGAACTTGTGCTGCACCTTTTATTAAAAGTCTGGCCCCTACACTCACACAGGAAAGGCAGTCTTGGGAATGAACAGAAATGTATAATTATCAGACTCTTTGGGGTGCCAAGGCGGATAAGCTCAGTTCAGGCTCCAGAACTGAATTGGAATATGCAGAGCATTGGTGGTTCTGCTAGGGTAAAAAGCGCATCACCCGAGTAGTTTAAGATGCACCTAGGGGACAGAGACACTGTCTTTCTTGTGGGTAATGGCGTGTCTTTGATTCCCTGCGTAGGCTCTGTGAGGTGTGTAACTGCTCCATCCACTTCTACCTCCAGATGACGGGAAATAACCCGGGTCCCCTCCAGAGTCCCTTCTCAGTTGCCCAGACAGAGGCAAACAGTCCTTCATTCTGGGGGAATTAAGCCTCTTTTTTAACCTTCAAAGGGAAAGGAATATCAACCTTACCTGAGAATATAAACAAAGGGTTAAAACCTCTAATAGATGCACCCTCTTGTTTCTTGCAAATGCTTTCTTTGTCTGCAAGTGTCACATAATTGTTTTGGGATAGGAACAATACAAGTCTACTGGAAGAAAAGTTTTCAAGACCCCCTTAGTGCTTTCGTTTTACCAAAACCTCCTCTTCCAGTGCATTAGCAGCTTCATTCTTTGTGATGCTTTCCTCTGCATTCTTTAGAGTAATTTTGTTACTTGACAACTAGACTTAAAGCTGCCTGTCGTCTCTTTTTAAAAACTTAATCTTTAAAAAGACATCAATTCTTCTATGCCTTAAAGGCTGTTTTTATTCACCTCTCCCACACCCCCTCCACCTCACTTTCTTGCTTTTTTGTGGGCTTTTTTTTTTTTCTTTTAATCTCTTTCTTCTTTTCACATAGTTCCTTGGGTAGATCTCAAGTATTCTATAAAGAACTCAAACAGAGAAACATAGTTGTCACCTTTTTTCCCCAGGACTGACTAACAGTTCCTTCTTAAGTTTGATCTTGGTGAAAGCTAGTTGCCCAAACAGCACTGGGACAGGGATTCTGATCTGGGGGTGGGGTGGGGGTGGTGGTAATGGCAGGTCAGTGCTGATAATCAAAGCAAGGGCCATGAGATCACAAGAGAGGACAGCCCAGGACATGCACCTGCTCAGGACACAGCCAGGGACTCAGTTTCAAAGACAAGCAGGTCCTTCTCCTTAGTCTCCTGAGATGTGCATCTCATCCTGTAGCCAGAGAACTCACTTATGAGTTCTGCTTTATTAATGTGAAATATTCTTGGCTCTAAGACACAGCTTCAAGGTCAAAGAGAGCTATGTTTGCATTGTTTTGCTCTGGTGACTTATTCCAGGAAGGAGATGGGGAGCCTTCTTTTGAAGGTGAACCACCTGTGGGAAGCTTGAGGAAAAATTAACCAAGGAGGTTACACCAGCCCTTAATAAAAAGCACAAAATAAAGCCTTCCCTGGAGATGCTCATTTGGGAAGATGGCTAGGAGAATGGTACCCTGGTTTCTTCTGGCCACCATCTTGGCTCTGCAAGGAAAATTCTGGGCAAGTGCGGCAAGCACTAAGATCTGACTTTTCAGGGTGAAATTTGCCTGTGACAGATAGAAGTGCCTTTGAGTATGGGACTGGTTTTAGACATCCTGCTCAACTGGAGAATTCCATGGACAGAGAAGCCTGGCAGGCTGCCATCTGTGGGGTCGCAAAGAGTCGGAAAGGACTGAATGACTAACCCTGACTGACTCAGCAGCACAGACTGAGAAATTATGAACACAGAACAGCAGAAAGGGGGTATACAAGGCACTGTAAATCTAGAGTTCCCATTGCCACATATAGGGCTATTTTAAAATCTTGCAGAGCCCCAAGCATCCTTACTTCAGAGGCTCCCTTCCACAATTATATCAAGCACTACAAGTCACCAACAGCTTAGGCCTCATAAAATTTCAAAGTAA